GTGCGTGTGTGCGTGTGCGTGTGCGTGTGCGTGTGTGCGTGTGCGTGTGCGTGTGCGTGTGCGTGTGCGCGTGCGTGTGCGTGTGCGTGGGCGTGTGCGTGTGCGTGGGCGTGTGCGTGTGCGTGGGCGTGTGCATGTGCGTGTGCGTGTGCGTGTGCGTGTGCGTGTGCGTGTGTGTGTGCGTGTGTGCGTGTGAGCGTGTGTGCGTGTGTGCGTGTGTGCGTGTGTGCGTGTGTGCGTGTGTGCGTGTGTGCGTGTGTGCGTGTGCGTGTGCGTGCGTGTGTGCGTGTGTGTGTGTGTCTCTCTCTCTGTGTGTGTGTGCGTGTGTGTGTGTGTGTGCGTTATCCTTCTCATGTGGTTCCAATCCTAAGTCTTTGACACATGCTGCTATATATTGGGCCTCTCCTGGGGCACGAATCCTACCCAGGATGCTCCAGGAAGGCCCAGGAGGCCCCAGGACGCCCCAGGAGGCCCCAGGAGACTTCAGGAAGCCACAGGAAGCCCCAAGAGGTGCCAGGAGGCTCCAAGAGGCCCGAGGAAGCCCCAGGAAACGCCAGGAAGGACCCAGGAGGTCTAAGGAGGCTCAGTCCCCAGAAGGCGCCAGGAATGCCCAAGGAAGCCCCAAGAAGCCACAGGAAGCCCCAGGAGGCTCAAGGAGGAGCAGTCCCCAAGAGGCCCCAGGAGGCCCCAGGAGTCCCCAAGAGGCCCCAGGCGGCTCCAGGAAGCCGCAGGAGGCCCCAGGAGTTCCAAGAGGCTCAAGGAAGCCCAAGGAAGCCCCAGGAAGCCCCAAGAGGCCCCAGGAGGCCCCAGGAGCCCCAGGAGACTTGAGGAACCCCCAGGAAGCCCCAGGAGACCCCACGAGGATTCAGTCACGCTCAGTCATGCTCATGCCACTGACGTGCAGACACTCTCACCCTAAGCTTAGCCATGCGCAGGCTCACACGCATAGACTCACTCGCGCTACTGGGGCTCATACACATTCAAAGCCATTCACAGTTAGACTCACTCCCAGGCTGTCAATATCCAAGCTCGTTTATATTCGAAGTTTCTTACGCCTAGACATTCACGGCGGAATTGCCAATGCAAAGAGATGCAGATATGGGGAGCTCCACGAGGTGAATCATCTATTATATACATATGCATCGAAGTCCATCTCTGAGTACATTGGCCCAACGGCTGGCCAACCGACCTGGTGTTTGCTGATGAGCACCGAAAGGGCTCCTGACCCTTTGGGAGGGGACCTCAGCCTGGAGGGCCAGACACACTGGGGACACATAATAATCAGGGGGTCATCCCTGTACATGTGCCAAAACACGCCGCCCAGAGAACTACGATCCCGAAGGCGAAGGCCCCGGACCTGAGTCGGGCCACGCCTTCACCATGTTCTCAGGGCTAGGGACCCTCGCGTTCTCGAGGAGATGCCTCGAGCCCCTCCCATGGGCGGCGCCAGGGGGGGGACGCCGCCGAGCAACGGCCGGGACGCGGCGGCGGCGACGTGCCGGGCTCCTGCAGCACCAGGCGGCCTCGGCGCCCTGCAAGGCGCCGGCGCAGTCCGGGATGTCGGGGCTGCCCCAGAAGAGCCGCCGGCCCGGGTCGGGCCCGGCGCGGGGCCACTGCTCGGAGCACTGCCACGTCTTGCCCCCCTACCTCCTCCTCCTCCCCTCCTCCTCCTCCTCCTCCTCCTCCTCCTCCTCCTTTTCTTCCTTCTCCTCCTCCTCCTCCTCTCCTCCTCCCCCTCCTCCTCCCCCTCCTCTCCTCCTCCTCCTCCTCCTCCTCCTCCTCCTCCTCCTCCTCCTCCTCCTCCTCCTCCTCCTCCCCCTCCTTCTTCTCCTCCCTCCCTCCCTCCTCCTTCTCCTCCTCCTCCTCCTCCTTCTCTTCCTTCTCCTCCTCCTCCTCCTCCTCCTCCTCCTCCTCCTCCTCCTCTTGCTCTTCACCACTAAGGTTGCCAATGGGATAGGAGGGAGGTAGGGGGCGGCGCGCGCAAGAGGGTGGGGGGAGGGGGAAAGTCTTCTTAGAAGGAGGCTGCCTCTGAGAAGGCGCGCGCCTTACGTCTACAGACAAGGCCCGCCGCTTCTAAGAAGCAGGAAAATATGCCCTCCCGGGCCGCTCAGGGCACTTGCAGCCCACTTATAAGCCAGGTTAGAGCAGGTATCCTCAGCATCTTAGCAGCCCAAGCGGTGATCCAGGTGGGCGCCAGAGGATGAGCAGTTACAACGGGAGGAACAACTGAATCAGATGAGAAGGAGGAGGAGGAGGAGGAGGAGGAGAATTGGAGGAGGAGGTGGATGAGAATTGGAGGAGGAGGTGGATGCGGAGGAGGAAAAGGAGGAAAAGCAGGAGGAGGAGGAGGAGGAGCAGGAGCCCCCTCGCGGATTTTTTGAGCTGGCGCTGGGCCCCCCTGGCGGCGCCTCTGACGTCGCCCCTGGCGCGCTCCGCGCGCAGGGGAGGAGCGTCCAGCGCCGATCCGAGAAACCCGCGAGGACTTCCCTAAGCTTATGTCTATGCCGTATTTGGCTACCTGACCATACCCCAACCCAACCCGAAGACCCGAACTTCGGGCTGGGGAGGGGGTGCGGGTTCGATGTGTTTTTCCGATGTTCCCCAACCCCCCCCCACTGGAAATGGAGGGCAAATTGAGGCCTTCGGGTTGGGAAGGGGTGGTTTGATGCATCGTGCGTATATTTTCTTCTTTTGCTCGTGAACCCCTCCCCGAGAGCAGGAGGGAGGGCACCCCTTCACAGAGGAAGGGCGGCGGCGACGCCACCGGCCACAGCGCAGGACCGCGCGGAGGCTGGGCCATGCAGCGCGACGCCCCGAACTTCTGCGCCGCGGGGGCACCCCCCCCCGGCCCACGGAGAGTCTGCTCCCCGGGGCAGGCTGCGGCACCCGGGGGCACCGACCGGCGACGCGCGGGCGAGTGGGGGTCGATGCCTCCTCAAGGGCTCCCAACTTCGCGCTTCGCGCTGCGCGAAGCGCGAAGTGCGAATGACTTCGCGCCCTCGCGCCGCCTCCCAGGGGAGAAGAGGAGGATGAGGAGGAGTCGGAGCCGAACCGCGAAGCGCGAATAACTTCGCGCCCTTGACGGCGCCCTTGCACTCCCCCGCCTATACCCAGATCCCCTCGGGCAATGAACCAAATCATCACAGGAGGTGCTCCTGGATCCTTGGCCTCTGGAGGCCATTTATTTCCGCCCTCGGGGCCACCAAAGAGCGACTCGGGATGAAAAGCCGGTCCCGAGGGGTCGAGACATCCAACGTCGACGTCATGATAAAATCAGGACGCCTGGGGTCTGGGCATCTCGGTGGTTCGAAGCTGGGGACCTGAGGGATGGGGTCCCGAGGACGAGGCGCCTCAAATCACGAAACTCCACCCTCGGATCCTATCCTGCTGACCCCATCCCTCAGGACCCCCTCTTTGAACCTCCGCCTATCGCTGCCCCCAGCGTGTTCCCGCGACAGCCTTCCGGCGAAGCCCGCTCCGCGCGTCGGCTCGGGCTGCATCGTCACGGGGTCGGGGTCGGATCGGCCGCGTCAGGGCCGGGATGCGCAGCAGCGCCACGAGAACATCGGACATCGACGGAGTTCGTCGGGATATCGGAATCGGGTTGGGCCGACTGAGGTCGATGTCGAATGGGACCAGCTGGGTCGAGATGGGCCCTGCGGCGGTGGCAGTCGTCGGAGTGTAGTCGTATATTTGATCCATCGTCGTCATCCTCCGTTCGTCTTCATCCTGGCATCGGCTTCTGGCCGCGCTCTCTCGCCTGCCGCCGCTCTCATCAGCGCTTGGCTGCTCGCTGTTCCTGCGCCTTTGGAGATAAAAAGCTGGTCCCTTGAAAGGGATGCAGACCTCTGGGGAGACAAATTGCGAGAATAACGACGGAGAACCCTGGCATCCAACCATATTATGTTTCCAGGCGCGGTCCCAAATATCCCAACCCCTTCCACATGGACATGTTCTGTCTCGGATCCGTTCTTGAGAGCGCCGGGGCTCGGTAACGGGCTCCAGGGGCCAAAACCCGTAAACAACGCGGCGATTGAACAACTCAACAACGTTTGGCTATTCGCTCTTCCTGCAAGCGCGCCCCCGTCAGATGCAAGGCCACTGTGCTGCAAATGCAGAACTGCGCTGGCGGCAGCAGCCGGGAGGCCCCAGCATGAAGTCCACGAGGCCACCGCTCACTGGCCCGCTCGCTGCCGCGTGCACCTCCCCCCCCGCTCACAGCTCACAGAGAAGGAACGACGTTGACGACGACAGCGGCGGCGAGACGTTGGCGCTGATGTCGGCGACACTGGCGCCGACAAAAACGCTGGCGACGAAAACGACCTTGACGCTGACGAGCGGCGGCGGCGCGGAACGCATGCCGAAGCGGAGTTTTTCTCTCCTCGACTGCTCCATCGAAGGCCTGGGGAGGCCCCGAAGAGCTCATGTGGGGCCACAAATGTCCCAAACGCCCATCCTCGAACTTCGATTAGGTCGGGCATGTCATCCTACAGGCGGATTTTCGAGGAGAAAAAACAAAATAGTCGAAACATAGCCAAACATAATAACATGCTCGCGAATGTGAGCGTTTTCTTATTCGGCGTGTCGAAAGTGGGAGGAAAGGGGTGGAGGGGGTGTCTGGCTCCAGACCTCTGCTTAGTGCGGCTGTTTGCAACAGTGCGCCCCATGGGGGAGACTCCACCTGCTCGAGACAGGCGCCAAAAACAGCCAAGATCTACTCCATGAGGGGGGGAGGGGGGGTTGGGAGGCCCGCGCAGTGCGCCCCATGGGGGAGACTCCACCTGCTCGAGACAGGCGCCAAAAACAGCCAAGATCTACTCCATGAGGGGGGGAGGGGGGGTTGGGAGGCCCGCGCCGATCGGCAAAACAATGAATAAACAAACGATCGCAACTCATCCCCAATTGGACTATGTTTGAATATCCCTCCTGCAGAGGGACAGGCCCGGCTTTAAGCCTGGGAGGAGGAGGAGGAGGAGGAGGAGGAGGAGGAGGAGGAGGAG